AAAGAATTACTTGCCCCCGCACAGTCAATTTATTAATTGACGGATGATGCATGGGTTTTTGCTGCTGCATCATTCAATGAGCATGTCGTCCAGCATGCTCCTGGCATGTGCATGTTCATTATGAGATGCAAATGGTTTGACTGTTGTATTCCAAAATGTGGCAAGGCTATTGTGGACTTAGGTTCATTTTTGATTGATGATCCTGAGAACATGTGAGAAATATCCTTTGGAGGGGTTGAGAGATTTTTGGTGAAGCGAAACCTTTTTAATTCCTCTGTCGAGCATGTTCTGTTTCCACTTTCAGCACTTCAGAAGGGAATTCTGTCGCTGCGGTGTCTGCTGCCCTATTACATGTGTTTCTCCTCTTTTTGGATGGGTGGTTTTATAGACACCGGTCAGCAGCTTGTCCTCTCCTCGCCCGAGGCAGGGGCTCGCTTTCATGGTCTCTCTGGACATCAAGTTCTCCCCCAGCCCGGCCCTCCAGCCTTGGGCCCGCAGCCTGAGCTGCTTGTAGGGAAGCCAGGCGGGACTCCGTATTTCTGGGAGTGTCGCTCTGGTGGGGTGCCCACTTTCCCCATCCATGGGCCTGCTGCAGGTCAGTAAAGTCCAGCAGGTAGTGGGTGGGGCGGATGCATGATGCGGGACCACCGTAACAGTTGTCCTGGCGCTGCTAGACTTAATTCCCGCTAAGAAACCGACTTTTACAAATCACTCGAAAGGAGCCTGGGGATAGGCAATGGCAGAGTCAATCGTGTTAAACATTTCCAAAGGCATTTTTTTTAATATATATTTTTATATATATATATATATATATATATATATATATATATATATATATATTTTTTTTTTGTTACGAGCCCCATAAATGAGGCTCATGAGGTCACGTGACTAGAAATGTATGTGTTTTATTCAATGACATGTTCCCCATGATGTATGAGTGAGACAATGTGGGGCCGTATTTATAGTTTGTATTGTCCAAAGAATGCTCAGGAAGTTTGTGTGTCTAATGCTCACCCACGTGGATCATTAGCGGCAACACTTTCAATGACCTACATATTAATCTACAAGTGAACAAAATGAACAACCCACCCCCCACCCCTCCAAATTTAGAGGGAGTTTCCAAACTTGTCACTGGTACTGTACATACACACGTATGTACATACATATTCTACATGCCAGACATACTGTAGATATATACTACATACATACTTCATATGTACATGTGGCTAAAAAGTGAAGCATGGAGAGTCTCTGTCACTGATTTTCCCAACAGCCTCTCACTTTACAGTTCTCATTTACTTGCCCATTTCCTCTCCTTATATTATTTTAATAAAACTACGTTGACCAGGGCAATCTGCTTATTTTTTGACAATCCTTCATTTTTTTTGTGGTACATTAAAAAAAAAAAAAAAAAAGTATACTGTATGTGGTGACCCAAAACGTTTCCTCGTCAGAATACTAGGCATTGTGGGTTTTCTGATGCAGCATGTTGGTAAGTGTGTGAGGCTGGCCAGGTGTGCGGGTGAGAATCGCCAACCGTAAATTCTTTGCACTTGTCCTGTTCAGTTGAGTTTTGGCCATATTACTACGTGTGCGGCGGGCCTTGCTTTTCAAAACATTTGGAATAGCTAAGGCAGTTTAATGCCTCATTTTTTGAAAGTAAACTTCTGTCCTGTTTACATACTGTACACATTTTGACAACAGGGAGTCCCCCGGAGACTTACTTTTACATTTTCCGACAAAGGAAAACAAAAAAAAAGCCTGTATCTTTTTTTTTTCTTCCTGTGGAAGTTGATTCTGCGATAAAAATAGCAGAAAAAATATTGTAAACCAGGAGTTGGGAACAAAAGAAACAAAAACCTGAATATGTTTTGAATGTAATGATCATTTGTCAATACAACTGTAAAATCGTGTATTAAAATCGGAGGCTTTATTTGATCATATGCCCCTAGCTTTAGCCTTAGTAAATAAAATGCATGCTGGAACCAACGGAACAAAAATTGAAGCCTCGGTGGAAACTTTACAGGTTCCACTTGACCAGATATTTGTTTTCGCTCAAGGATTGTGGTTTATGAGGCAGTTCTCCTAATATACCGCCCCCCCTCGCCCCCTCCTTCAATCTCTTCTCATCCCATTTCCTTTCTCTCTTAGACGGGCAGGAAAACGATGGGAAATGTCCTCATCTAGACTCGGAAGAATCGGATCCTTCATTTGGTGAACTGTCCAACTGTGAGGAAATGAAATCACCACACAAATCAGACAGGCCCGAGCTGGAGATTCCCTCGCTGGCCTGCAACGGAACCTCCGCGGGGGCCCTGGGCTCTCCGGAAGGCCCCAAAGCCAAGACGGACCCCGAGAAGAAATTCAACTGCGGCATCTGCGGTCAGGCCTTCCGCACCAAGTCCTACCTCAGGAAACACCAGCACAGAGTACACAAAACCACCAGGGCCCAAGCGGGGTCCGCGTCGGGTTTGAGCGAGCTGGCCCCCTTTTCGCCTCAGCAGAGCATGTCCCTGCTGGAGTCGTTCGGCTTCCAGATAGTCCAGTCGGCCTTCGCCTCTTCGCTGGTGGACGCCGACGCGGGTCAGAGCGGGGTGGACTTTGGGGGGAAGTGACACCCCCCCGCGCGCTCGGTTTCTGATGCTCTCATCCAGGCCCACCGAAGTTGCTCCGTGTTTGACAATAACTTTGCCTCAAGACTACTTCTCTTGCTTACTGTGTATATTTTTGCCAGACTGCCATATGATTCCTACTTTTTCTACTTTTTCAGAGGATGGAAAGCGCATATACGGTGACATGAAGGTGACCTCTCCTTTGTATCGTTCGATGAGAAACTTTCAGTTGCTTTGATGGTTCATTGACCTTTCTTAGCTGCACGTGTTTCTGGACGTGACGAATCAATAGATGCTCGCTCTTTCGCCTTAAGAGCAACGGGCGACGCTTTAGTTGCGTATTTATGTTGCTCTGTTTTCCGTGACGCGTGGGGAGCGAATCAATAGATGCTCGCTCTTTCGCCTTAAGAGCAGCGGGCGACGCTTTAGTTGCGTATTTATGTTGCTGTTTTCCGTGACGTGTGGGGAGGGGAGAGGGGTTTCAATCAGTGGCGGATTCAAGAATTGGAATCCGTTCAATGCAAGCTAACACATCCTCGTTCGCGTTTGCTTTTTTGTCACAAAAAGAAAGTCAAGCACCGACAGAAGACGAAAGTTAAAAGGCACTTTTTTTTGTTTGCGTTTGACATTTGCGTTTCAATCGGAACTTTTGTCCAAACAGATCAAGAATGAGGTTGTAGAAGAAGAACATTGTGTTTCTTGTTAATAGCTGAACAGGCCATGGGCTCTTACGACAGCGGCGAGTCAGTCATCAGCGCGCAAAAAAAAAAAAAAAAAAAGAAAAATATGGAAAAAAAACAAACACCCCATGAGCCATCAGCAATTATGTTCCCCAAGCAACGTTCCCGAAATCTTTTGTGTTCCATCCTTGCGTGTTCACTGAACGGGGAGGGGCCGGGGTGGGGGGACCAAGGTCAGGTAGATTATCGTTGATATATTTTATTAAATGTAGATTCTATTTTATTAACTTATTTATGCCCATTGCTTTTGGGTGGCGTTTTGTTTCTTTGCGTTGCGTAAATGTTTTGATTTGACAATTTTGAAACTCGTGTAAAGTTACGTTTTCAGGAGATATAGTGCGAGTGTTAGTACGTGCGCGTTAACGGTTTGTGATCGGGCAGCATCCGGACCAATCCCAAACAAGTGAGCTGTCTTCTTCTGCGTCTTTGCATCCGAAACATTCCTCTGAAACTCGAGTGAGAGGTTTCTGCTGTATCGTCCGACGGAAGCTTGCCGAAGAAACACGACGGGAAGGAGGAACAATTTCCTCATCCGACAAGGCGCATCGTTTCGAGTCAGATTTCGGGTTTTCTCTTCGTCTGCATCGACCAACGTGTTTGTCTCACCAAGTGAAGTGCGCGTGTTCCGTCTCCTACTTTGTGTGTTTGTTTTGTTTTGATTAGAGAGTGACTGTGTTTCTATATTATTTATGATTATCTAGTGAATTGTAACAAGTGTATATACCATCCATATGCACATTCTATAAATATATATAAATATCGAAGCAACCAATGAGGTTTGTTACTGGTGGACCTGTACATAAGCAAAGATTGTTTTGATTTTGCCCATTGTCCCGTTGTTGTGCTCGAAGCTTGTTAAGTTATGTTGCGTTCCATCTTTGGCTGAGTGTCAATCAACTAAGTGCGAGGTCAATGGTTGCCCGCACTGCGCTTTTTATTTGTTCTTTTGTTGTGATCCGTTCTGCCACAAAAGGCGCGTGTTGTTATTTGAAAGACAAAAGTGAATTCGCTTCACTCCCATTGGTACTTCATTGTAAAAGATGTTTTGGTTTTTCCCTTTCGCCCCCGAAACGTTTGGCTTTCTTCGTTCAGTCTGTTGCAAAGTGCCTTCCACTTACTGATTGTGCACGGCAGTGGATTTAAAGGTTGTCTTTCGGTGAATTGTACCGTGACATACATTGGAACTTTTTTTTTTTTTTTTTTAATTAAACACAGAAAATGTACAGTATCTCAACGTGGTATTCCTATATCGTCATATGAAACAAAACACACATACAAAAAAAAAAAGCTTTTAAAACATGTGCGCTACATGTTTTGTTATAACGTCTTTGGACATATTTCAGTATAAGCAGCATACTTTTCTACTATATAAATCTTTGTTTTTGTACTCTGTTATTGAGTCTCTCTCGTTGGCAGAGAGACGAGGATCCAATAAATTTCAATGGAAAAGCCCTTGACAGCTGCACTGTTATTGCTTTCTCCTTCTATAATCCCACAGTGGACCATTATAACGCCGAACCGTTTGACTGATTGATTCATTATATGATTTAGTTTGTCTACAACACGTTACAGGAGCTTCACACGTTGGGTGCCACGGATCTCACTCGCTACATACGTTAAATAATAAACGGTTACAGATCACACAACATCACACCATGGATATGTTGCAAACAAGCAAGCTACACACATTTTATACTTGAAAGGGTTTTAGAATGCACTTTGTACAAAACCAATTGATGCAAAGCTATTTTGATTTTTTTGGGTGGTAGGGGGAATCTCTCTCACTCTATTTTTTTTTTTTTTGGATGTTTTCCCCTGTGATTCTGCAGGTGGTCTCCGTAGACCATTTCTCTTCTGTCCTACAAACCCCTTTCCAATGAAGTTGGGATGTTGTGTTAAATATAAATAATAACAAAATTCCATTATTTGAAAATCTTGTTCAAACTTTATTCAATTGAATGCACTACAAAGACATTTAATGTTCAAGTCGAGTCACATTTATTTATATAGCCCTTAATTACAAACAAGGTGGTCGACTGGTTAGCATGTCAGCCTCTCAGTGCAGAGGTGCGTGGTTGGATTCCGCCCTATGGCCTTCTTGTTGGAGTTTGCATGTTCTCCCCGTGCCTCTTCACTATTTGCTCAAAACAATAAAGTTTGTCAGTTTGAACATGAAATATCTTGACTCTGTGGTGTATTCAATTAAAAATATGTTGGACATGATTTGCAAATCATTATACTGTATTCGGTTTTTATTTACAAACCCAATTCCAATGGAGTTGGGACATGGTGTTAAACCGATCACACCGGTGGACGAGAGGGTAGTCTCTCTCTTCCTTCGGGTGGGGGGGTGACGGGTCCTGACTGTAGTTTGTACCTATTTACCAAACAGCAGTTCAGAGTACCCACCCTTTTTGGAGTCCTTGGAGGGTGTGCTGGAGAGCGCTCCCTCTGGGGACTCCCTCGTTCTGCTGGGGGACTTCCAATTCTCAGGTAGGCAATGACAGTGGGACCTGGAAGGGCGTGATTGGGAGGAACGCCACCCACCCCCGATCAGAACTCAAATGGTGTTTTGTTGTTGGACTTCTGCGCTCGGCACAGATTGTCCATAACGAGCATCATGAATAAAAATAAGGGTTTCCATATGTGGACTTGGCACCAGGACACCCACGGCCGCAGTTCGATGATTGACTTTGTGGTCGTATCATCGGATTTGCAACCGCATGTTTAGACACTAGGGTAAAAAGGAGGGGCAGATCTGTGAAGTAAACCCCACCTGGTGGTCAATTTGCTCCGTTGATGGGGGGGGGGCAAGATGCTGATCCGACCTGGCAGACCCAAACGTATTGTGAGGGTTTGTTGGAGTTTCAACTCTCACCTCCGACAGAGCTTTTCTCATGTCCGGATTTGCAACCGCATGTTTAGACACTAGGGTAAACATGCGGGGGGGGGGCGGCATTGAGTCCAAGTGGACCATGTTGCACGGCTCTTATTGTTGAGGCGGCCGATCGGAGTTGTGGCCATAAGGTAGTCGGTGCATAGTAATGTGGCAGCAACTCCCGAAGTCACTGGTGGACACCGGCACTGAGGGATGCCATCAAGCTGAAGAAGCTCCTTGTATTTCTTTACTGTGTATTTCAATATCTTTTACACTTTTGTTTGCAAATGCTTTTATATGTTGTACTTTAAATGATGTCAATTTTCTTGTGTACGAAACGCACTGTATTAATAAAGCCGCCTTGCTTTGCCTCGCCTATGTCGAGGGAAATTAAAATTACGAATGAAACATGTTTTGGTGTTTTGCTCTCAATACATAGTTTGCATTAAAATTTGGTGGCAAGTTCAGTTTCCCTGTTCTTGTAATTAAGTTTGTTGAAGTCCTCCATAATCTCCAACATGGTCTTTCCTTTGGTCTCTGGCACCAAAAAGATCATGAAGGCTCCACTGACGATGCAATAGATCACGAAAATCAGGAAGCAGTACTGGCCCATTCCATTCTACGTGGACACAATCACACACACACACACACACACACACACACACACACACACACACACACACGCAAATATAAGGTTGGATTAGGATCGACACAGAGGTGTGGCATGTCTCACCACGACGTAGCTGAAACACATGCCCACGAGGAACATGCTGAGCCAGCCAATAGTCCCGCTGACGACAAAGGCAGCGGGACGCCATGCTTGGAGGAAGAGGTCAGCAGGAAGGGCGAAAGCCACTCCAGCTGAAAAAAAAAAGAGATATGCACTGAAAAAAATTGTGTATTGAATTTAATCAATTTTATTTTTGAAGTAGACTATACATCTACTTTGAAAAATATATTATCTGGATCCAGATGATTTTATTGTGTCCAACTACCTGCCAAAAATAAAATAAATAAATAAATAAAAACACTATTTTTTTGGTGTACTACCATACTCCCATGCATTAAAACAGGGAAATTGTAATACAGGGCGCTTAGAAAGCCTGTGCACTTTCATTTATTTTCTTAACAACGCATTTATCAGTAGAAATGTTTGAAAACAATTATCGGCTTTGCGGAAGACATTTTCTCGCTTTTTCTATGGATAAAATGTTTGGTTCATTTGTCTTTGAGTAATTTAGCAAAACATAAGCGCGAGCCGGCTAGCTAACGTCATGTTGACATCTCGCTATCCATTTCACTGTCGAAGGAGCACCATTTTGACAATTTTAATCCAAGCAACAGAAAAGTCACTTCATTAGGCAGTCACTCGACGATCATGTTAAGTTTTTCTGAATTTCTATTAATATCTATTTTTCAAAACAATAAGAGTAGAAAAGGAGTTCTGTTTCTCTAAAAAACAATCAACCTCATATAACATCTTGTTTTCAACTGACCCTTCACACATTGAAACAATAGCGCAGGAGAAGAACTTTTAAATCATCATTGAAGACATTTTTTTGTTTTCTCAATCACTCCACCTGCGTCAAATCACATAAAAGGGTTTGTTCCGAGGTGGTGCCTTCTATGTTTCTGGCACCCAAAAATATGTCTGATGTTGTGTTTGAAAAAAAAAAATCTATCATACTCATTGTACGTCACATACATACGTTCAATTCAAAAATAAAATGTGTTTTTTTTTTGTTCACCAGAACTCACAGGGTCCAAGTCCATAAATGCAGATGACGCAAAAAATCAGACCAATGTTCATGTATGGGATCCATCAATTCAGATCCTGCAAAAAAAAAAAAAAAAAAAAAGGCCAATTATTTAGTTCAAAATTAAGTCAATGCGGATAGTTTCGTGTTTAATGATCAAGGTCAAAGCAGCAGAAGTGGGTACCTTGATGCACAGCATGATCGTAAGAAGAGACATGGCGACAGCCATCATTAAATAACCATAGCCCATCAACTTCTTTCGGCCAGCACGGTCGATTAAGAAGGACTGAAACACAAACAGGAGGGAGACTTTAAAAAAAAAAAAAAAAGCTCTGTACAAAACATGCTGTAAACCATCCGTAAATCATGACATCAATAGGTGGTAGGATGTATACAGTACTGCGTACTCTATATCGGTTTCATTTGATCAAACGAGTTTTCAAATTACATTTTCAAACTCTACATACTCAATAAATTGTCCTGAATTTGCATAAGATATTACAAACGATGAAGCTTTTTTTTGCTGTTTTCTCTTCTCTGCTTTTTTTTTTTACATCATGTGGACACAATTTCGTTCTATTTGCCCCTCCAATGTCTCTCTCTAATTACCTTTGATATGGATTTTTTTAAAATTTAATTATTTTAATCGGATAATGCACATTAATTAACACTAGTACATTTTTGAAACAACTTCACTGATCACTGACTGCTTACTATTAATGACTGGTTAAAAGACATTACATATATTTTGAGTATTTTTATTTTGGTTTTGTTTTGAATGAGCTTTTCAAAATCACAAGTTTGGAGAGAGAGAGAGAGAGAGAGAGAGAGAGAGAGAGAGAGAGAGAGAGAGAGAGAGAGAGATTGTTGGGAACATTGACAAAAACCTGGTCAAATTTCGATGTGATCCTGTGTCAAACTTACACATAGCATGACAGCGATAAACTCCATTGCTCCAATCCCAATAGTCAAGTACTGCCTCAGCTCTTCTGGAGCGCCTGACTCGCTGAAGATGTCAAAGGCGTAGAAATAGAGCTGATAGAGAGGACGGCTGATGAAAAGCAGGATTCAACGCAGCTTAAGGTAGAACTGTCCTCAGGTATAGGTACCGCATTGTAGCCAGAGAACTGGTTGCCAGAACAGGTGAGAACCAGAGTCAGCAGCTGCCATCGGACACAACGACAAGTCAAGATGTCCTTCACCGTCTTGGCCTTCTCCCCTTGAGTGCTCTGTCGCTCCTTCTGCATGTCCTCCAGTTCCATTTTCAAGTCGTCCTCCTGCCACAGCCACTGCAATGCTTTCACATGACGCATGTGCAACTAGTAACTCAGCTACGCTGTCAGAAGCTTTTCAATTTCTGTAGTGGCGCCTTATTGTGACCTGACAATTTTTATCTTTTGGAGGCAAATATTTACCTGAGGGTACTTTCTACATCAGAGATGCCCAAATGTTTCCCCTACCACAGGGGTCCCCAACCGCCGGTCCGCGGACCGGTACCGGTCCGCAGGGCATTTGGTACCGGGCCGCACAGA